GTGTGTGTGATTGAAAAGGAACGACAACTCTGGGTAGAGATTGGCGCGGTAGGGGTGACTTCGCCGACCCAGAAGTTAAAGTTAGGTTTATTTTCGAAATAAGATTCAGGATTTCTTTATAAGACGTTTAATCAGACTTCACAATATGTATTCACCAATCAAATATCATAAACTAGCTTGGAGCTGGTGTGGTTGGTTGCAACTTTAGTGATCACTTCCGGTCATGTAGGTACATTACGTCGTTACGCGTCGTGTGTCTTCATACCAAACAAAGTTAGGTTGAAGCAACATTATGCTTAAGAGTCGCCTTTCAAGAGTTAGAAATATAAAAAAGGTTCAGGCAGGATCTCTTTCTCCTGTCATCCCTTTCTCTCCGTTTACTGCATGCTATATTTCTTCTCATCCCTTTCCTGTCTGTTCTACCCTGCTTGATAACCGGACTACTCGATAGTGAAGCGGACGAATAACTACTCAAACCACCACCATACGGAAGTACTGGCCTTCGCCCGTTGAGTATCGATACAAAAGATATTCGGACTAAATAGCTAAATATCGACACTAGCCTATAATATTGCAACACACTACATGTATGCCAAGTACTATAACACATTTTTAATAGTTAAGTTACTTTATTAGAAGTGCAGCTCACAATATATTTTAACAACATTCACGTGTCCCGGTGTACTGTGAGGTTACCGGAAGTTCTGTGGCCTTAAGGTGAACTTGTCCCATTGGTCCCACAGGGTGGCAGTACATTATTTGGCCAGTTACATGTCTGTTTGGCCTCGTCAAACACCAGGGCTGGAATGAATACACAAAATATTTCATATGCAATCATTTGTATCAGTCAAACTACTCCCGTGTGAACATTTAGTTATTTACATATGATTGAAATGTAAAGTTTTAAATAAATGCATGCAACAAGACCCGTTTTCATGTAGTGCACGTTAAGATTTCATAAACGGACTCTAGAAACTGAAGGTAAAATAAACGGATGTGCCTGCCTAATATTTACATTTGCTCCACATCCTTCCATTGCAATGCCCTGAGAAGGCAAATGTTGCTATGAGACTATAACAACATTTGCTATTGTTACGTCATCAATTTTATTGGGGCAAGATCTAAATGGCCGTTCAAAGAACTGTTCGAAAGGGGGGCGGGGGTCTCTTTTGCGTGTCAGTGTAGGCCTATATTTTTGTTGAAGAAAAGATACAATGTAATGTTTCTTACGGTATGTTTATATTTATATTTATTTTGTATTATGTATATTATGTATTTTTTTTTATTTCATAAGTTGTTTAGGAAAGGCTATATAGGGTGCGTCAACACCTTGTCAGCTGGTTTGAGCATTTAATAAACCTACCGCCCTGTCCATTAATGTAAGGTCGTGGAAATGTGCTCTAGAGATATAAATATTGGAATTTGACACATTTGTTGTATAACAGCATCATCGAATATGAAACTTTGCGTCTCCAACTTTGCCATGATATAGTCAAGGGGTGCAAAGAAAAAGGTGTTTATTGAGTGGAACCCTTTAATTTATAAGATGAATTTACGCTCAAATAACACCACCTATATTTATTAGATGGCCTAGACGTTAACAAACAGGCACGTTTGTGGTGGAAACATACAGATGTATTAAGTACCAACACTAATGATATATTTGACTTACATCCGGCGCACAGTGAATGTCCGAAGAAAGTACCCGTATTGCACGTATAGTAACTACTGCAATTGTTGTCTTTGTCTGCATATCGTCCGTTCGCCAGGTTGCTACAATCTTTCTGCTGGCCACATGGGGGCGCCACATTAATTGGACTGCAAATATAGTTTGGAGTGGTGCTTGATAAATTCACAAATTTTAGGACATCAGTATTACCGATTACAGATAAGATGTGAGGCATTTTGTTTTCGTGTAAGATAATATATCATCATCGGTGACTATTTACATATCTCGCGGTTTGCTATAATCTTCAAATATTGATAATTATCTTATAAATAAATTATTCACGTTGATCATTAAATCTTCTCCTACAGTTCCCTAAGGGAGTGACAGAGAAATGTCCAATTTAAGGATGTTTCCAAAGAAAACTTTGTTACCCTTTCAAGGCAGGAGATGATATTCTTTCTCCAAAGTATAGTTTCCAGCATTTGTGATATAATTCTTATCCTAACATCTCGTCGAGAGCGGATTTTGACGTCATACCTGATCGTCCACGTGAAGTCATATCGACTATGACGTCACAGAATCATTGTTAATTTCCAACAGGGTGATTAATAAGGTACTGATTTTGTTCTTGCACCTATTAGGTCGAAAAACTACTCAATTTCGTTATAGTCTACAAGTATCCCTTTCGGTGCCTCAAATAAATATGGCTTCTTCATTTCTGAAGCTAAGTCTGAATGCTTTCGCGTATACAGTGCAGTACGTCCTTATAAGGCAAAGACATAAATCACAATGTAAAATATATTTTTACTTACAACATTAGGTATCTTAACACATAAAAAACAATACAAACAAAAACAAAAAAGAATCTTAAAAAAGGACAAGTGCATCGCTGTGTGAGAGTTCCACGAAATGTTCCGTCAAGGTGCCCGAAAGACGGAAAGAGATAGAAAAGTCTAGAACATGTTATCACGTGGGTTAACCCTGTTTGATGTGCGAAAAAGATGAGTTACACCTTACGGGTGACAACAGAATCACAAACAGTAAAACGGGAGATATATCTGTGATGGTGGGAAAAATAGCTTTCACACTGATGCGATTCTGAAATTGATACACAGTGATTAAAGAATTACCGATGAATATTCTCGTAAAGCTACACATAACAATATCAATTCCAACCCTATTATATACCGTGCATGAACAATGTTATAATGTAATTTCTAAAAAAGTGTTTAAAAATAAATGATAAACGAACATATCCACACCTCTATTCGCCTTGTATGCCACAATGTGATATTTTATGTTGACTCTAACCATTGATCAAATAATTAAAAAAAAA